TTTGGCAAAGGCAGAAGAGCATCTTCCAACATCTGAAAGGTAATAAGTGTTCTTGAACATGCTAAGTCTCACCCTGTAGAGGATCTGGCTATTATTATACTAGATGCTATAAAAGTCTTCGACAATGTCAGTTTTCAATTGCTTTTCCTAGTACTCCACAGATTGGTCTTTTCTGGACATTTTACACACGTTTTAGAAATATGTACTAATCACTTACAGCTAAACTTGTTGCTGTGGCTCATATTTCAGAAACTATTAATCTATATAAAAAGGAACTAAATGTGATTGCCCACTCTCCCTCCTATTTAACCACACACTGGAACCTTTATCTAGATTTCTGAATTACCTTGTCCCACTTCATGGGATTAAGATAGGATGCGAGGAACTTTGTACAGCATTATTTGCAGAAAATATGTAAGTATTCACACTTGACCCTCTCCCTTGATATGCAAGCACTTCAGCAGATATTCAACACCTTTTGCTAATGTTCAAGAGTTTGCATAATTTTTAGCTAAGGTGAGGTACTCCCTCTGACTACTTCTTCACATTTCCTCATAGCAAAACAGCACATCACAGACCTGGGAATTAAAAATCGGTAAATACCCTTTATATTTATATTGATTGAACTATACTGCATTGATCACAAAAATAGAGGGAGAATTGGAGGCATACCCCTATCACTATTTGGGAGATGTCATCTACTCCAAATGGCTAGTTTTACCTGCCTCTTATATCCCCTTCAGACTATGCCAATTTTAATTAAACACAAAGATATACAACATACAAAATCTTCAAAATGCTTTGCTATTCTTTCTGTGGCTTTGGGGGGGTGAGCTTACCAAACATCAAAATATACAACATTGCTTGCCTTTTTTGTAATGGCCTGGACTGGATACTGCAAGCCTCATGTTATACCTACGGTGCCCTAGAATCAGACATGGTGTACCCCTTTGACTTATCAGCTATATCACCCCACCTGAATTAAGTTGTTACCTAGGAGTTTATAAAGCAGTCTATTAATCCATGATCCCCCTTATAGAGTGGAGGGAAATGTGGAAAAAGTTGAGTCTATCAACTTTTATGTACAGACATCGCCCTAGTCACGATAATCTCATGATTCCACAAAACATTGAATATGAGGCCTTCTTTATCTGCTGATCCAAAGGCTTTAAAGAATATTTTCTCTCTGTTTTCTTTGTTAGACCAAAATCTTTTCAAGGTTAGCTCTACCAAATATGAATTACAGAGTCACCACCTATTTTGCTACTTCCAAGTTGTGGACTACAGTAGGTTGTGCTATTTGGAAAGGGATAAAACCTTCCAACTCTCTCTGATAGACCTTATGCTACAAAATTGTGTTTTTTCAATTTCTGATATTTATCAGACCAGTCAGGTTTGAGGTTCCTCTAACTACTCTTAATAGACCTCTCTTTGCCTGATGACAGCTTGGAGACTGATCTTAAAAAAATGGATCTCCCCAGCTGTCTCAACCACTGCAGATGTTAAAAAGAAATTCAAAATGTATACAGAAAAGTTAGAGGAGGAGATAGAAAATTCTGTTCCAACTAAACATTTCTTTGCCAGATGGCAAACCTTTATGTAAATGTCTCTATAAAATTAAAAAATAAGCTCCCTCATGACTACCTTTACATACACAGAATGGTGAGCTAAAGCTAGCCTCAGCAATACCCTAGGCAAACTGTGTCTGACCTCCCCCCTGCCATGACTTCGGAGAGGGGAACTTCTCTCTGCTGCAAAAAATGTGGACAACTGCTAGAATGCAGTCTCAGTTTTCTCTCTTTTTTTTATTCTTATAGGTTACTTGTTTTTATTTTAAGTTGACACTGGTCTTCTACCTCCATTCTATTTAAAATGATGTGATACTCAGCATGTTGTTAAAGTATAACTAAAGGCAGAGGGATTACAACACGTGTCCGTTTTTATTGGTGCCTGTGCTCCCGTTAGGGAGATTCACCTTCTCTATTTGTCCTGTTTACCATTAGCATTGAAAATGAAAGTAAAAAGAAAATCAAAAATTTTGGGTTGCCTCCACAAAAGTAATAGAAAAGAAATCTTCAATGGGAATCCCCAAGAAATTACCTTCTTTTGCAGGGATTTCCTGTCATTTCCTGTTTGGCTATGGGACAGAAAGTTAAGGAAAATCTCCACAGACACAGATGACGAGAAAAATTTGACGGGTTATAACCTTTCCTTGCTTAATCCAAAATAAAAAAATGCCTATAGTTGTACTTTAACAGGATTGCAGACTTAACAGTTATTCTATGCACACATTCAGCCTAATCATAATGCAAATTATGATTTGGCTGACTCATTAAAAACAACGCATTTCTAGTTTTGTTTGAGTGTTGTTAAGCAGTCAGGCAGTCATTGTAGCAGATATAGTGTACCCTGACTCTGGTAATAATTCATAAATATCTGCATTTAATACAAAGGAAGAATGTACATGTAAAAATATGAAATTCACATACAAATTTGGTTAGGTTAGAATTACATCAGCTAGGAATGGCAAATGAAAGGAAATCGTTTAATCTACCACACCCTTTAAAAAACACATGGAAAATAATCAGAAAAAGTTCAGCCTGCCCAAAGTGATCAAAGAGAATTCAGCATAAAGGCTGATTTATCTAAGATCCGACTATTCAATGGATGAATTATTGTAAATATGTGGTTACCTTGCTACCTTATTATACACAATTTATAGCAAGAAAGTTTTTTTTTAATCACTAAAAGCAACTGGACTTTATTATCTTTGCAAGACCTATACTTTCCTACATGGTTCTATCTTACATCTTAGAACACACTCATATCACAAGCTGGTGGAGGACAACTACAATGTGCAAACAGATAACAACCATATTTCAGATACGATCTCAACTGAATCAGCTTTACCCAAGAAACAGTATTTCAGTTATTAAATGCAGCTCACATCTGTAAATGAAGTGCAGTCTTCTGTTTTCATAATTCTAATTAAATCGCCCAGCACTTCATATAATGACTGTGCAATTCAAACATCATATTGTTTCCAGGGACATTATGATGGATTTGACAGGACAGTTTAAAACACGATAGGTCAGCCAAAGGTTACACAAAGTACAGATGTACAAAATATCAGATTGCTTGCATACTGTGCCATGTTGTCCTCTGCACACACTAATTGGGTGGGTTACAGCACTTGGCTGCATAGTAAAGTAGCAATGTATTAACAGCTGAAAGCAATAATGTGCGACACAGATTCTCGTTCCAAATTCATAGAATGAAAAATAAAAGTTTTCTTGCTTTACCTCTAGAAGCAGCGAACAACATAAAGAGGGTTTGAAGTGTAAAAAAAAAAAAATCTCAGAAATATGAACCCTCTGTATTGCATTGCCCTGTTAGCAGTTGCTGTGGTATTATATATACATTCAGCAGCATTAATCTTTTCCCTAGTCAATGAGTCTAGCAGTTGTAAAATCAATCATGGCCTAACCCCCTGACCCTCAGGTTCTTAGACTGGCAGCCCTGGTACAAGCTCAGGATCACTCAGTATTTTTGGCAGCTGACAAGCAGTTCTACTATCCCCAGGAAATAAACAGGAAGCTGAACAATCTTTAACTCAGAGTTCCGAACAAGCCCTGACCAGCATCTCGTAAAAGCATATTTAAAGCAATATTGTTATACTCAACGGAACTCTGAGAAGGCATATGTGGAATCTGTTGTGGCAGTGCCAAACACAGCACAGGGAACCACACTGACTAGTTTTGCCTGCCACCCAAAGCTAATACCCACCCTTCTTGGGCAGTCCACGCAAAAGATTAATTTCCATCCATCACCTTGCACAGAGAGGAACAACCATTCACATTACTCCACCCATGGATACGGTTTCTTTGCACAAATTCACAAGCTTGTCCCAACAACATGCCTATGTCTGGGGGCTTTTGAGCTCTACTCACAGCAACAAGGTAAAATTACAGAAATTCACTCAAGCTAAACTCCTGGATGGATGCATTCAAATCAGGTTCAACTTTTAATAACCACTTGTAGCCCCTTTTACATAAAACAGCTAGTCCCTAAACCTGTAAAAAAGTGGCCAACTATTTGTCACAAGTTAGGGAGACAGTTAAATGTTTGACAAACGTTGAGCTAGGTGAGGACCCCACCAGGTACCTACTGCTTCTGACCTCTCGAGAAAATGGTATAAAAATTCCCTGCTGGTGCACTCGCTTAATGCTAATCGGGCTTGCATTCACCACTCTGGAAACGGAAGACTCCCCCCTTCTCTCTCCAGGTGGTTGAGTAGAATTGAGGAAATTCATTCAATGGAAAGTATCGTGGGTGCACTTTGCAGCCAGGAAGAAAGGTTCCATTGGTCTCTCTTTACCTGCTCTAGTGATTATGAGTCCATGATGCATTAAAGGGACTGAGGTAACCTACCCCTCCTTGGCTCCTCCCTCCACTTTCTTTTCCTTCTCGAACACTCTTCTGCTTCTTTTACTCTTTAATTTTTCCCTTTGTAATCTTTTTTTTTTTTGGTTGAGTATCTTAACTACTTGCCCTCCAGAGGATTTACCCCCCTTCCTGACCAGGCCATTTTTTTAGTTACGGCGCTGCGTTAATTAAACTAACAATTGAGCGGTAATGCAATGCTGTACCCAGATGGAATTTACGTTCTTTTTTCCCAAGAATTTTGCTTTTTTCCGGTGGTATTTGATCACCTCTGCGGTTTTTATTTTTTGCACCTTTCAAAAAAAAAAAGATTGGTAATTTTGAGAAAAAAAAACAATATATTTGACTTTTTTCTATTAAACAAGTCCAGTAAAAAAATAAAAAAAATCAAATTTCATCATAACTTTAGGCTAAAATGTATTCTGCTACATGTCTTTGCTAAAAAAGATCCCAATACGTGTAAATTAATTGGTTTACGTGAAAGTTATAGCGTTTACAAATGGCGGTATATATACTGGGATTTTTAATTTTTATTAGTAATGGCGGCGATCAGCGACTTATAGCGGGACTGCAGTGGGCATTATGACACTGGGAGGAACTGACTTGGTGTCACTGACATCCCCAGTGACACCAATACAGTGATCAGTGCTAAACAAAAGCACTGACACTGTACTAATGGCACTGGGCAGGAAGGGGTTAACATGAGGGGTGATCAAAGAGTTAACTGTGTGCTGTTTTATATAGTGCTGTGTCCATGTGCTTCACTGTAAGCACAGTGCTTTGGACGGCTGTGCTACGCACAGCCGTCCAAAGCAGTGTGCACGAGCTGACAGGGAGGAGAACTGTTTTGTTTACAAACAGTTCTCCTCCCCATCAGAGATGCTCGGCAATCACCATGCGCAGGCGAGTAATCACCGGCCGGGACCTGGTGATTGACAGTCGCGGCCGAGAAATGCAAAATCTCACACACACACACATATATATCCCAACCACGGCACCACCTGCCTGGAGTTTGCATGTTCTCCCTGTGACTGCGTGGGTTTCCTCCGGGTACTCCGGTTTCCTCCTACACTCCAAAGACATGCTGGTAGGTTAATTGGCTCCTGTCTAAATTGGCCCTAGTATGTATATGTATGAATGTGAGAGTTGGGGACTTTAGATTGTACGCCCCTTGAGGGTTAGGGACTGATGTGAATGTACAATAAATATGTAAAAGCGCTGCGTAAATTGACGGCGCTATATAAGTACCTGAAATAAATAAATATATACGCACATGATTTTGCGCACCCATGCCGCCTTGTAGCAGTAGACCTGCTATAGGGCAGTCGGGAAATGGTTAATGAACATACAAATGGGATGTCTATTTAAAATGTTTTACTGTGAAGCTTGACTACGTTTAAGTTGGTGCCTGTTTTGTAGGCATTCCTATTTGTATGTACATGAAAAGTTTCAATAAATAAAGAATGTTTAAAACAAAACAAACAAGAAAAAAACAGATAGTCCCTGTGTTGCTGTTCTTTCTCTCAGTGGATGATAACGGAGTGGGGCTCAATATCAGATTCAGTTACAGCACTGGTGGTGCTTATAAAGAAATTCGGTTATAATGACTCCTGGCACAGGGAAAATTGAAGATCTGCAGCAGCAGAGATCACTTATTGTTTCTATTTCTTCGACTTTTCAGGGTTATTAGAAACATCTTGTTAATGGTCAGTCTACACACAACTACTACTGAATTTACAAGTTGATGTGTTATCTCCTGGGCACTCCTTGCTTACGTTTTTGGCTCTGCAACTCCATTACACGCAGTCACCATCCTGTAACTGCAGCAAGAGGGTTCTGTAATTTCTTACTGTATTCCTAAAGGAGAAGTACAGCCATAGCTCTTTTGGCTGTACTTCTCCTGTGGATCACAGGAGTACAGTTCATTCTGCACTCCTGTGACCCATTTTCAACTAACAGCGGGCTGAAGCCCAATGTCTGCTGACGTCATTCAGCCGGTCCAGGCTGGGGAAAGATCCCAAGTTTAAAGTTGAGATCCAGCTCAGAGTCCAGAGCGGCACCTGGCTCAGCCTGTCAGCGATCAATTGAGAATCTGAGCCAGCCACTATCTTCCCCTCCACAGCCCAGTGAACCCAGTGAGCATGGGAGGGGGGGGGGGGGGGGTGTTGGACAGAGCAGACAGCGGTGACTGATAGTTATCACTGTCTGCTCAGAGCAGCTGTGAGAACTCACCGATCTGCGGTCATGTGATCACTGAGTTCTCACACTTAGAGCTGGCGGGGGACAGATGCAGCATCAGATCAATGCTGCATCCACCTAGGTAAGTATGGGGGGGGGGGGGGGGGGGGGGGGAGGGAAGAAACACTTACTTCTCTTTTAACAGTATGAAACAAGTGAGATAAAATCAACATTGGGGGTAGAGAAGATAAAAACTACTTTTGGTAGAAAAAGTAAAATTTTAAGCAATAACATCTTCAAGTAGCATAATTTATAAAAATATGTCTCTATACCAAAGACATATACTCCTTCGAATGTTTGAGTTCTGTGTCAGCTCACCAACTGTATAGTCACCCAATATGTGACAGAAACCCACATGTCTGAACTGAAGCCCAAGGAACAATGGACACTTTTGGAAAGGTACAGGAGTGCCACATAGGGACAGTTGTTGAAGAAGGAGAATATCCTTCTTTTTCATTTCTAATCTGCACCCCCCCTATATATCACACTCTCAAAAAGATTCTTGTAAATTTAATCCTAACCACATTAATAACATTCAGGATAGAATGCAGAAAAATAAAGCATTTCAAAATGTTTTTAATTTTCCTCTGGTCAATTTCCCTTCACTTCCTATTCTAATGACCAGCAACAAGAAAAATTCTTCTCACTAAAAAGAGAACGTCAGCTTTCTTTTTCCCTCTAGTAGATTGTGCAATTGCATAGCAACTTAAAGCAAACCAGAAAAAGTCCAAAGGATTCCTCGAGCAAGTCAATGAGCTAAATGTAAATCCAAGCAACTCAAAAGCACCTAACAGCATACAGCCAAGGGCCATTTTAACACATGGGCCCCAGATGAATGGGGGGCTCCTGCAGTCCACCCCCCCCTGCACCTTCTGGTGATCTTATGGCACTTCGCAGGAGTTAAGGGTGAACCCCTGAGTTGGAGCATCAAACTACTGTCGCTTGCTTGTGTGGTTGAGATGTGTACTGCTCTGATCCCAGCCAGCCCTCCTCTCCTAGTAATCCCATGTGATCAGAGCAGTACACATTCTGCCCACACAGCAGCAGCAGCAAAACAATACTCCACCTCGGGGTTCTTCCTGAACCAAAGCAAAGTGCCGGAGTTCTGGAAACTATGGGGGAGTGAGGGGTGAGGAAGGTTGAGGGGAAGAAGTAATTCTGATTGTACATTTGGCCCAGTGACAGACTGCCAGAACAGGTAAGAACTGTGACAGCAGCTTCCCTGCACTGCTCTGCTTAAGGAGACAATCTCTGTATTATATAATACTGCAACTATACTCGACCCTCCTGCCCCCTGTACTGTACCCTCTGGCCTCATACTGTGCACTCCCCCCCCCCAGTACTGTACCCTCCTGACCCCCCACCCCTGTACTGTGCCCTCCCCCTGCCCCTCCCCCCATGTACTGTGCCCTCCTGCCCCTCCCCCCATGTACTGTGCCCTCCTGCCCTCATTGCTTTGCTGACCCCTGTATTCTGCCCTTCTAATGCCCTGTCCTGTGCGCTACTGACTTTTTATATTGTTTGGATACTTGTACTGATTAGTCTTTGATTTATGGCATGTTTTCTTATCGTTTAAAATAAATTTTATTGAAAGTACTAATAAATATGTGTTTAATTCGATCAACTATTTATACTCTAATTCTTGAGAGTAGGTGCGTAAATTGGGGTAAGCTGGCAGGGGGCCCAATTCATTACTTTACCTAGGGGCTCATGATGCTATTAAGATATCCCTGATACAACCTTTACATTTCTCAGACTAATGCGTAGTGTCATGGCATGGGATGAAATCGATAGAACCTGGTGATACCAGTAATATACTGGTGGAGTGAATAGTGACATGTGGAAGGGAATGGAAATTCAAACTGATCTTCCATGAATAACAAACCGCATGTGTTCTGTTTCTGATGGCTAAGTAGCACCAACATGAAATAGCAATGATGCACTCTTCGAGGATATTCCTCTACTTATGGGCCCTCTGCAGTCTATCTCTCCATTGCAGCTATACACTTATAAATCTCACATATTAGACCCAAGCAACACAATTACAAATAGTGCTTTTTAGTTTTACAGTAAATGTAAACCCTAACTGGATGGTATTTAGTTTGCTAATGCACCCTGTATCATAATCAATTACCTAAATTACTTGTTTTCTCCTTTTTTAAAACCTTTGTTGCATCTCAGTGCTGAAGATCCCCTCCAATCATTTTCAGTCACTTCTTGACAATATGTATGTACTCCAGAAATGACTGCCTGCTGACAAAACATCTGGGCTCTCATAGAGAACCACTGTATCTTAACTACTTAATACCGGTTTTCCCAGCAGATTGCACTGCAAGGCAACTAGCAGGTCCTGTTCCTGGTAAAACCTTAAAGCCACTGGAGGCATTAACTGCTTCCAGAACTCCCTATAGCAGAACTACTGCTACAGGGCGGCAGGGCTCTGCAAAATCATGTGTATATATATGTGATTTTGTATTTCCGGGTAGGGGGCGTGCGTGTGCCCCCCTACCAGCACCGCCAATGGAGGCTACAGCTGTCGATCACCAGGTCCCGGCCGGAGATTCGCAATCGCCGAGGAACACTGACGGGGAGAGGATCGTATGTAAACAATACAGATCTCTCCCCTGTCAACTACAACATGCTGCTTTGTATTGCTCTGCATAGCAGAGCAATGCAAAGCAGTGTGCTTACACAATAAAACACAGCACACAGTAAAAAAACACACACAGCACACAGTTAACCCTTTGATTGCCCCAAATGTTAACCCCTTCCTGCCCAGTGTCATTAGTACAGTGTCAGTGCTTTTTATTAGCACTGATCACTGTATTAGTGTCACTGGGGATGTCAGTGACAGTTAGTCAGCTCCCCCCAGTGTCAGAATGCCCGCCGCAGTCCAGCTTTAAGTCGCTGATCACCACCATTATATCCAGGATATATACCGCCAATTGTGGACGCTATAACTTTCACATAAACCAAATAATTTACATGTATTGGGATTTTTTTTTGCAAAGACATGTAGCAGAATACATTTTGGCCTGAAATTTTTAAATTTTTTACCAGATATGTTTTTTTTAGCAAAAAGTAAAAAATATTGTTTTTTTTTTCAAAATTGTCAGAGTTTTATGTTTATAGTGCAAAAAAAGAAAACTGCAGAGGTGATCAAATACCACCGAAAGAAAGCTCCATTTGTGGGAAAAAAAAGAACATAAATTTCTTTTGGGTGCAACATTGCATGACTGCGCAATTGTAAGTTAAAGTAACGCAACGCTGTATTACACAAAATGGCCTGGTCAGGAAGGGGGGTAAATCCTGTGGAGAGCAAGTGGTTAAGTATTCCTTGTGCCAGGAACGTTATGGTTGTTTTTTTTTTTTTCTTTAAACAGAAAGAAACCTAAAAGCTTTGGGGGGGGGGGGGGGGGAAGAACCTTTTGTGTCACCACAGTATTTGGATGAGTCACCAGCAGAATATACATTTTAACTGGATTTTTAAAATATTAAACTGGAGATAAACACAAAAATATACATAAAAATATTACCCAAACACTTAAACAAAATAGTATCAGACATGAATGCATAATTTAAAAGGTTGAATTTTGTGCTTCTTAAGTGGTATTTTGGGAAATGTACAAGAACAGCATGAACTGCTAAAAGTACATTAGGGATCGACGTCAACACTGAAGAAACCATCTGGTGCAGTTGTTGTTAACAATGAACATTTACCTGT